CCTGGCCCAAAGTGACCTTTTCTCCTATGAATTTATTATCTGTCTTCACAGCTCATATGCCACCAGATGCCCTGGGCCCAGGCTGTTTATGACCACTGTCCATTCTGATCAATGGCGCATCCATTCCATTCTGTTGGGTGGTGCTTGTTGTGGACACACTCCAGGGTGATCCCTCCCCAGGAGTCGTGTTCTTTATAATCCCCTCCTGACGAGGGAGGGCAGGACTTGGGACCTGCTCCAAACAACAGAATAGAACAAAAGTGATAGGATGCCAGGCCTATGACTCCTAATGCCCATGAAGAAACCAACAGTTTGTGCTGTGAGGAGACCGTGGAGAAGGCCAGCAGCATGGAGCTGTGGGCGGCCCCAAGGGGCTGAAAGTGCCCCCAACACAGCCAGAAAGAAAACAGCCCTCAGTCCCATAATCACAAGGAAATGAAATCTACCAACAACCTAAATGAACTTGAGGTCAGATCTTTCCCATTTAAGTCACCAAATGAGAATGTGGCCTGGCCAACACATTGATTACAGCCTTGTGACACCCTGAGTAGAGGACCCTGGGACCCATGCCAGGACTCCTGACCCACGGGAACTATAAGCCAATGAATGTGTTTTGCTTTAAGTCACTATATGTGTGGTCATTTGTTAAACTAATTCAGGCCACACACACCAATAGTTAAATATTTGGTTGTCACCCCTATGTGTCTCATTCATTGCACAATTAGTCACACATCACTTTGTCATGCAGAATATTCCCTAGACCTTGTGCTGTAACCATAGCTTCATGTGGTTATGACTTTTCCTCTCAGCTAGACTGTAAGTCCCATGAGGGCAAGAACTGTGTTCTAGAACTTTTAAAAAAAAAAAAACCCATGTGGCCAAAAAAAAAAAAAAAAAAACAAACCCAAAGCATATCAAAGTACCTCCTGACACACAGTAGGTACACAGTCATATGTGATTTGAGCTTTTGATCCTTCATTTGTTCAACTAAACCAAATGGGTCTTAGATTAAACACATAGAGACATGTGGAGAACTTTTACTGCACACCTACTAGGTACCAGGTTAGCTCTCAGACACGCAGAGAACAAATCAAAAGTCTGGCTCTCAAGTCGATCATGGTTCAACCCAGCCAATAGGATCTTGTTGTCTCATCTTCTTACCAGTGGAATCAAACACTCAGAGATCCCTAGAGTGCTTTGTCAATTAGTCAAGATTATGAGCCCGCAGATCAGGCCAAGGTGTGCCTGTAAAAGTTCTTCAGTGATTGTTTAGCTTGCAAGTAGAAGCAGCAAGAGGTCCCCGCTGAGCCGACCTTCCATTTAAATGGGAAAGGGAGCCACCAAGACACATGGGCACTCTGCCCTTCCTCAGTAGCCCATCGTGGGCGGCCCTTTCACTCTATGACTCACGTGGACATACCCATATTCAGGCAGACCAGAGATCAAAGCCATGTTAGGCACGGGCTACTTTTTATTCATAGGTTTACAGAATACATTGAATTAAGAGACATGTCATTTGTTAAGTCTATTTAACAAAAAGAGCTAAATATGTACACAGCCTTAAATTTCATCCATTGTAGCTTGCATTGAAGATTGTAAAATTTGCTTTCATATACATAGAAAGTATTCTTCTTTTCCTTAAGTTGTGCATTTAAAATACATAGAAATAGTACCAAATGGTATATTGGCTGATTTTATCACAGGTCATACATTCCTGATAGTCAAAGGGATTGACAGGGAATGGAGAGTTTCCTACCAGGAAGAAAAAAACAACCCTGAATTTTTGATGCAAGCGATGGAATAACACAAGGATAGGAGTGGCCCAGTTTAGATCTCAGTAGCTTTGCAATGTAATTCTTATTTTAATCAGCATCACAATTGGTTCTCTCCACTAATAACTGGGATGCTGTTAAATCTGCGTGGGGCTTCCATCATCTACTTGCCTGGCTGAGGCAAAGGAAATCATTATTACTTTTTCTTTTCTTCCAATTGATTCTACTCTCCCCAAAGAGTTCTCTCCACAGCCATCTGCCTTGCCTTTCTGCCCATTTCCTTTACATTGTCCCCAAAGTCTGGGCCACCATGCTCACTGTGTCAACATCCAGATTATACAACAGAATCTTTGACCACTGCCTAATTAAAGAAATTTCAAAACTGTGAGCGAGGGGCTCATACCTCTGCAGAAGAATCGGGAAGCTGGCTAAAGAGATTTTCTTCAGAGGACATGCAGATAGACTCCCCTCCTGCAGACCTTCATCTCTTTTTCATTATACCCCAGGTCAGAGAAATTTCCATCGTGAGTGTTCCAGCAGCCAAACCTCCAGCATCCCACACTGATTTCTTTCCTAAAAATACCCAGCCTCTCACTCCATAGGGAAGAAAAATGCAACACTGCCATTTCCAGCATGTTCCCCAAAGGCTGACTCCAGCCCAGGAGCAATTCATCATCACTTGTGCATTAGGGGTTTCAGCTTTTCCCTCCCAGAGCTCTTCTTGTTTATCTTGTGGACATTTTGACAAGAACCAGATGTGTCTCAACTTTAACATCCCTCCTGTAGCTAACATGTTGGGGGAGAAACCACCGTGCTAGCTAAACACCCTCCTTAAAGCAGAAAATTATCTGTA